TTTGGCCGAGCTACCCCTCCGATTTGTGGCGTGCGCCTTGATGTTGGCACACAAAGAGGAGAAACATACAGTTTTACGCCGACTCCGAACGGCGATTGTAATTTTATGAGAAACTGTTCCTCATGGCAGAAATATACTCGGAGCTTTGCCATTGCCTGGCGAGGGGCGACCGCTGTTAGGAAAAAACTTTTGTTTTAATTTTTTTGCGATGTTGCTATGACCAGGGCTTGAATCCAGGCCCTGCGAACTGAAAGCGGGCGCTACTTACCACTACACCACAGCGGCCGCACGAACATTGCTTAGAGTTCCAAAAAATATTGTCCTTCTACGGAGGAAATGTGTTCAATGTTATAAAAGGGCATATTTTTGCCCTCTTGTACTTGTCTAGCTCACGCATTTCATAATATTGTCGTTTTAACAGTGGCGGACCCAGGTAGGGGAAATTGGGGAAATAAAAAATTGAGATTTTAGAAATTTTCTATATTTTCCAAAATTTTGAGAATTTTTTTTAACCAAAAATCTATCCTAAAATGTAAAAATGTGAAACATCACAAATTGTCGAAAAATTCTTATGTTCATGTACGAGTACTTAAATCGCGTTGATTTTTAATAATTTTTTTATTTTCTGACGGCTCTATGCAGAAGTTCACTTACTATTTTTATACATATGTACATTAGACTGCATCCCTCCCCATACCAAAAAAAAAAACAAAACGGTACTGTGTTTCCATTGGAATTATAAAATCTATGACATTTTAAGACGTCCACCAAAATATTTCGGAAATATATTAAGATTTACGTAAGCTGGACCGATTTGAAAATACCTCCAAAAATGGAGTTTTTTATGAATAAAAATAGTTTCTTAAAGATGTTTTTAAAATCCCCTCAAATGACAAAACGGTTTAAGCTAAAAAATTTGCATAAAAATATTTTTAAAAAATTTAAAAAAAATTCTGAACGGAATCGTAATAATGAGATTTTTGATGCCGTTTTTTAATTTTTTCATATATATGTACATACATAAGTAAATAATGACGCAACAACTTAATTCAGTAATTATTTTTTTTCATAATTTTTCGTAAAGTCTTAGTATGTGCATAAGACTTAAACAGCTGAAACATTCATTTCCCATAGAAGCCCATTTGCCTCATAAAAATTTATTAATTAGAACTTATTTTATAGCTTAATCATTTTCGTTCCGAATACCGGGGCGTATGATGGCCTCGATAATGAGCAACCTGACTCTCACTGTAAAGCCTTGAGACCACTCTAGCATTGTATGTATGTAAGTGACTGCGTATAATTAGAAATCTTAATTTCGCTTTTAGATTTGTGGCTCTTTCTGCGCCGTTCAAGTGCAAACTAGGTTTTAGAAGGGGCAACTCATTGTCATGCGACTTTTTCAACGTGACGAAAGGCGTAATACGAGTTGTCGCAGTGGCGCCATATATAACTAACATAAAACCGATCAGCGGATCTTAACGCCGTTTCATAGCTACGAAGACGGGCTTTATATTTATATGTATATATGTGACCTGGTCTACGGAAAGGGGGCTTAGGTGTCAAAAAATCAATTTTCACTTTTTGGTTGATTCGGATGGAAGATGAGATGATTTTCACTTTTAACAGCTTTTTCACAGAAAACTTTTTTCGCACGTAAGCTCCCTTTTCGTAGACCAGGTCACATATAAGATGCTCAAACTAACCGAGTTTGGCGTTCAAAACAGGCGAGTTGTGAGAGTTGCGTTAATCCGGATCAACGTTGCCGTTTGTCTACGCTATTACTGGCATCCTACCTCTTGCTGGCGGGAGTATACCCACATATACGAAGAGCGATGTCCACATTTGGGTAGATGGTTTGAAGACCTTCAGCTCTTAGCTATTCGACCAAACTGACAGCACTCTTCCGACTTTTTTATACTGCACTTGGCACGAAAGTGGAGACATTCTTCTGAAAAATTCTCTTCTAAGTCGATAGGAAAATCATTCGTAATGCTTCGCCATTTACTTCGGCTTCTTACGTGCTTAATTTCGTCAGATTAGCAATAAAATAATATAAAGCTCCTTAGACCTGGATGTTTTCAAAACTATATAGTTTTTTAGTTTTAGTTAGCTAAGTGTCGCTATTTTGAGTTTACACGTATTTACTTTGGGTCGTGCGTTTCTTTTTACCATCAGTGTGTGTTTTTCTTTTGCCGCCCCAAATATATATATATAACGGGTGATTTTTTTGAGGTTAGGATTTTCATGCATTAGTATTTGACAGATCACGTGGGATTTCAGACATGGTGTCAAAGAGAAAGATGCTCAGTATGCTTTGACATTTCNACATTTTTCATATTTTTTTATTTAATTTTCCGATTCTGAGAGGGATTTTGCATATGGTTTTTTGAATTTTCAAATGCAAAGTGCAAGTAATTAGAGTTATCATATTCGAATCAAATTTCGCACAGCTTCATTTTAGACCTTTTCTAGTCTAGTGTACATATATACATACATACAATATGGTAATGTTAAAAAATAAATTCCATCACAAATATTACAAAAAAAAAATTTATAAATTAAAGCTATAAAAAGTACATGCGCTCCGAGCAAAGCTCAGTCAACTGGTACTTACTAGAGGTATACGCCGTCGAGCCACGCCGCCGCTGCCGCCGATTTTTGTCATTCCTCACGCGCCGCCGCCGAGTTACGAAAATATCGGCGCGGCGGCGGCGGCGTTCGGCGCCTAAGGAATTTTGTACAAAATTTTCATGATGTATATACATTGAAATACATCGTTGGAAGGAACTAAATACTACTCGTATAAAAACACAATTTTACGAAATGAAAATAACATTTTAAAGGATTTTTTTTTTAATAATTTGGATCACTGGATAAGAATATGATCTCCTTTATTTTTCCAAAAAGAGCGTAAGTCAGAAAAAACATAGGTAACATATTTTTCGATCGAAAGCGTTTATTACAGTTAAATTAGGGTCGAATGCTGGTAATCTAGCGATTTTTTCCGCAACTCTTTCCAATACTACAACAATACTACTTTTTTATACACATACTACAAATCTTAGAAAGCAGTTTTGACAAAAGCAGCTTCTGTTCATCTAACTCATCCCATCTAACTCCCCAATTATTAGGGATAAAACAAATACAAGTTGATTTTCCCAAGTATTTTTTTTTTTTAATATTTTAAACAGACTTTCAATAAAGAGCAAACACTTTTTTTTGCTAATTTTAACATTCGTAAGGTATTTTATTCTGGGTTCCCACATACGTATACGAGTACTAGGTGGCTGTGTGAAAATTACGTTAGCATTCCTTAGTGGTGGTCAAACCCCAGGAAGGTTTTGCTCCCTCGCAACGCAATGTTTTCTACAAAGGATTAAAGTTCCCCCTTTTTGGTAAAAATTAGTTTTATTTTTCATTACATTCGATTCTCCTTAGAAAAATTTGGCGCCTAAAATATTAGTGGAAATTTTTACCATCTATAAGCCATTTTTTCTAAACAGTGGGTCTGGTTCGAGTTGATGGAATAAAGTAGACCAATCTTGTTTTCAATATGTAATCCGCAAAAAATCATAAGAACTCCGTAATTTAACATAACGGTTGATTAGATTATTGCAAAATGAGATTGATAGCGACATAAATTACCCCAATAACTTAACTTTAAACATTTTTTAATTTCTTTAAATTTAAATAGTACATACGGCTCTGTAGACAGCATACAGAGCCATGTGTTTGAGGATGTGTATACCTCAGACCTTCTTCTGTTCGCCCATCCATCAGCGCCAGGCACTCAACATTTTAATTCAAGTAGGAAGTAACGGAATTTAAATTTAAAACTAATTCAATGAATGAATTAAATAGAATTATAATCTGAATTGGCATGGTGAATGCCTAACGCTGACGAGATGACATGATAAGATTAGTAGCCTCATGGCTCTTTGGAATCTACCTTATGGGCAGTAGCGCCGGCGTTTCAAGACGCGCCGGAGTCGCCGCCGCCGCCGATTCTTTTTGAAGTTGACCACGCCGTCGCCGCAAATCCTGTCGGCGTAAACCTCTGGTACTTACTATACTTTTAATAAGTCCAGTTTCTTTGTAACTTGTAATCGACTGTTCGAAACAAAACATTTTTGTGGAGGTAAAAATGTGGAAACAACGAATTTCAGACGAACATTTTCGAAATGCTTTCGAAGCATTACAAGTAGTGAATACAACGTCTTTTGGGGATGTTTTTTTAAGATCTAACGTGTATTGGCACTTTTGCCCGTTTCAATAGCTACACCTGAACCTCATACCTACAAAGAAAGATACGACCAACCACATATATATACAGTGACGAACAAAAGTATTAACAAAGCTCTTCATTCTAATTTCTTTTCGATATTTTTTTATAAAAATATAGCTCATCCTACACCATAAAAAACATAAATATAAAATCTCTAAACTTTGTGCAAAACTAAAGAAAATTCAATAAATTTTCGTACTAAATAATTTGCAACTTCCTATTTAAATTTTTTAGAAAAATTCTACGTTAGCAGCTCTTTAGCCCATTAAATTTTAGTACAATGAAGTGCAAGCTTAAAGTTGCTAAAAATCGCGTTGATTTTTGGCACTACTTCCCACTGCAAATATTTAGCTAATTTTTTTCTGCAAACCGATATTTCTTTCTTCTTAATACGATGAACGAGAAACAAACCATCAGTTATTTCAGCAGCGATGCGCTAATGCAAATAGATTTTAAATAATTAGAAACACTTTCTGTCAAATTGAAAGATAGGAGGAATTTGAAGTTACACGAAAATTTTACCGAATTGACTGGACTACATTTATGAAAAACCCGATATTGCGCTCGATATGTGGCAAAATTTGTAAGGCACCAAAATTGTCTCAAAGCAAGCTTTCAAAGTAGGATGCGATTAACGTATGTAATTCTTATGTGAGCGGACACGCCTAGTGTTTATGCTTCCACGCATGTAAAAATAATTTCAACAGATGGATTCCAAATTTTTAAAATTTTATTATAAAATTCAATTGAAAAAACTGCAATTCAAATCTAAATTTAATGCTCATAGTCAACCTAATATATATCAAAATAAAGTTTAATAAACATTTATCGCAATTCTCATTAGACTGGAATGATTATATTAAATAACATCTTAACATTCACGAAGTACATAGATATAAATTAAGTATGTTTCGGTACGTATGCCGAAAAACAAAGTGTTTTGCAATGATTTCTAACACAACTGAGAGTAATATTGAAAGATGTTATACGAGCAATGTAAAAAGTAGAAAAAGAAAAATTACGATAATATAATCTTAACTAACTTTCCTAGATTTCTAACATTATTAATGTCAGTATGAACAAAGAGAGCCATGCACACATATCTCATGTTTAATAATATGCCGAATTATTTGAAAATTTAAATTTTGTGGGAAAACGCAGTCAAAGTTTGATCAGTTCATACAGTTGGTATACCAAAAGCAGGATGGAATGGCATACATCTTCGCCATTTTAGGGAAGTTTAGTCATCTATTAGGCTGTATATATTCTCCTTATTGAGCTTAATTGGATGATGAAATCTCCATAAACATAAATTTTGAATTACATCTCTATATTATTAAACGTGCGATATGTAAGTATGTACATATAATTTCAATCTAGAACGAGAGAGCACCGGGCGAGAAAGATGATGGATTTTACGTTAAATATCGGGCAAACGTAAAGCACGCTAACAAATTTCATACCATCTCATTCTTGAAAACATCAATGTTGAGCAAGCTTTAAAACTTTAATTACTTCGTATTTAAGATGAATTGTTCATCACTCCTTTCTATTTTAGTTGTTCACGTTTTGTTCTCTTCGCATATACTATGCACATTTATCCGATTTTTTTTTTTTTTTACTAAATGTTGTAGAGAGGTTTATGGAACACTTCATTTCAACTTAATCGAATTAAAAAGATGATAGACATTACAAACGATTTACATGCAGAAAGAAAATTGACTCAATCGTTCCACATAATTTCCTATTATTGTTGAATTTGGCTTAGTAGAACTTCTTCGCTTGAGCTTCACTGCGGCTTCTGAAATAATAAGCCAACTTTAGTTTTACTTTGTTAAGAGTGTACTTTCCAAATTTTGCTCACTTGAAGAATGAATACAGGAACACCAGCAGCAGCTGCACAACGGTCACACTTAGGAACAAAGTTATCCCAACACAATTTCCAGTTGGGCAAGCGATTTGTGAACCAGCCTGTGGCGATCCAAGCCTTCGGGAAACATATAAAAAATTTTAAAGTTTATGTCACAGAAACGAAAAGTGAAAGAAGAATATATGTATATGGCATGGTGAAATTATATCATAATATATATGGGCTCTACTCACTTTTGTCCAACATGTGCCATACCCTGTTTCACTTGATTCATACCGTCTCGCATCTCAGCGATAACGGACTGAATATCATAACCAGCCGCTTGCACTTGAGCTGTGGGCGCACGTTGTTGGTTTTTGATAATTGTGTCGGCACGTGCTTGAATCTCTCCAATTAGTGTACGAATCTCGCGAGCAGTTGCCAGCAGTGCGTTTTGGTTCGCCACAACGAGATCGACTTCTGGTCTTGTGATGGTTCCACTCACCGTGCCTGTGGCAACAGGTGGTGCGCCGGCGCTTCCTGGTGCACCCACTTGTTGTTGAACTGCAGCACCCGCATTTCTTGATACCAAAGACAGAGTATTCTCTTGGCGGCCTATTACTTCGTCTACTTTACGAGACAAATCCCGCAATTGCTCGAAAATTTGACTTTGACCTTGCCATATTTGACGCAGTTCACGTTGATTTTCTGACTCAAAGAACTCTTCCCACTCATCATCATCTTTGACCTGAATAAAATACATACATAGTTTAAGAAATTTTTATGTAGTTTTTTCTTTCATAGAAAATCGTTTAAAATGTCACCACTATGTCAACCCGTTGCTGACGTACCTCATCAGGATGCTCCTTCTTATACTCCTGCTTCTGTTTGTCCAACTTCTCCTGGTATTCCTTGTATTCCTGTGTCAGCTTTTCCGAGTTCTCTGGAACTTTCACAGGATCTGATGGAACTTGACCGGGCGGATGTAGAGATGAAGTTAGGAAGTGGAAGACGTCATGATCGTCCGCTAGACCTCCAGTCGCAGCCGAAATTCCAAAGAAACCATTTTTGGGTAGTTGGACACCATCAGCTCGAAGACACATCTCATAATCCTCGTTATTATTGGTCATACCATTGTGGAACAACACTGTTAATACATTATTGTAATATTCAATGCGAGCGCGTGTCGGGAAAGGCTTATTGCGGAAATCTCGCAGGCATCCAGACAGTAGTTGTGTGGTGCCATCGTTTTGATGGTCGAATGCCTTAGTTCCATCGTTTACCACAGCCATAATATATGGGTTATTATGTTTATTATCATTATCAAAGGAGTCGAAAAATAGGCCCAGACCATTCCAACGATCTGAGGAACCAAATACAGCGCCATTATAATCTCCTTTTTCTGTGGTGTACCAGAATGCCAGACCATCGGCGCCAATACGACCACGACCAGATACCCGGAAGACAATCTCTACGTCCCACCAGTCAAAGTTCGTTGGTGACTTGGTCCAGATTGCACCCTTTTGTGAACGCATTGACGGTGCCACGCGTACGCTCTCCGCACTGGCAATCGCATCTGTAAATTTTTTAATGAATACGATTATCTACATAAACCTCACACCCTAACAAACGAAAAAAATTATACAATTTCGCTTTAACTTCTGGGACTAAATCGAATTTAACCGCATCTTCATGTGCCACATACTGTGCGGCGCTCCCAACTTGTGCGACCCAAAGGCCCCACAGCTGACGTGTCGCCTAAGTTGCTAAACCACTGCCAGCAGTAGAAGCTGTCAATTTATTTGTGTTGGTGTACTTACTGCCTCCGTACTCCCAGAAGGGCACAGTGCCATCCTTCTGAGCCAAATATGGGGGCTTAAATGAATATTTGTATTCGAAGCGTCGATGCACGCCAGCCAAATGGTTGTTTACATTAGCTTGGACGTGGCGAAGATCCACTAGGACTAGTAAAATAACCACGATTTGAGAAAATCTGTAGGAGCACAGCAATCCGGTACCTGACATTTTTATTTGACACATACACTATTGTCTTTTTGTTTCGCTTAAAGTTGGCTGCACATGCAGCAAATGCAAACCTGAAAATATTTTGCAAGTGTTGTAAAACGTAATATATTGCTAAGCTACGAAGTTTGCCAGAGAGCGTAAATTATATTGTAACGCTCATGGCACATGTAACGGTAAATAACGACCGTAGCCCATACACCGATAACAATTCGAATGTATTAATCACTTCATAATTAGCATTATCATTTTAAATAGAGTAATTAATTCATCTACGAGTCAGATTCTCTTCCTTTCTGATCTGATTTGGGTTTTGGGGTAAAATAGTAATGAAAACATTATTATCTGTCTGGAGGAAGGTATTCAAGCTATTTATTCCTAACATCTTTCGAGAAGGTCTTTCGATATACAGGCTGCCCACAGGGAGGCATCTAGCCTTTGTCTCTTGCGGTAGGCGATGTTTTGACTAAGTGAGTGTGGTTATGATGCCGTTGGGTTAGCAAATGATCTGGGAATTATAGTGAAAGAAAAGGTTTCGATTTTCTGATTCCATGACCAAAATGGACGGGTAGGATGACGGAAATTTGTTCTAAAAAATATCATCTTCCCACCCGAAAGTCCTCGCAATAAATTAAAACCCCCTTCTTTCATTAAAACGCGTATTTTTTATAGGAAAGTTTTTCTTTTAAAAATTTTAATGCGGCGAAAAAGTTGCATTTATTTATTTCTTTTTACAGTTCATAAAATGTAGTACCTACGTGCGTGCACTCAGGCTAGTACATACTTATGTATATGTATGTATGTATATACAAACCCGTGTTTAGCATAAATAGTTAGGTAACCTTAGGAAGTCTACTGTTTGCAAGTGTAGTGGAAAACATTTATTTTGCATTTTATTGTGCCTATAGTTTCCTTGATTCATACAATTATAGTTATATGTATGTAGTACGTTAAATATTATTCAAAGGTAAACATCACATTTTTATTCGNGCATACAATTATAGTTATATGTAGTACGTTAAATATTATTCAAAGGTAAACATCACATTTTTATTCGTTAATTTTCATTCTTTGAATTTCACAGTTAATCATTAGGAAATCCTTTGCATGTTGGTTTCTGCTTTGTGAAATATTGACGTTTTTGTAAAACAAAATTGTGCCGTGTAAGGATATAATACATCCTACCTACCAAAAGTAATTCAAAAAGACTCCAGGAAAACTAATAGTGAAAATATGGCTGTGCCCAAAACAAGCAAATGAAACACAAAGTATTATAAAATATGAAAGTAAAACTGCTTTTATTTAACCTTTTACGCTTAAGTGAGCTGCCGTATTGCTTGATTTTATTATATGTATGTGTAAATGTTTGTGTTTATTTAACAAACATAGCCTTGCAAAACACGATATATGTACGCGTGCAAGTTTAACTTCTTAAAATCGAAACTTAACTACAACTAATACGAATACTTAATCATCAAAAAAAAAAAAAAACTGAGAATCGAGTTAAGTACAAAATTAATTTAAAAAAGTACGATACTATGTTTATTGAAATAAATGACGTGTAAACTGTTGAGCGAAGAAGTTATGAAAAAAAATGCAGGCGTGCTGTTTTCCCAAAAATGAAGCAGATCGAAAACCACTTGTATTGGTAATAAACATTGTTCGCTAAATTATAGTGATTTCTAAAAATGCAACTGATACTAAATTTTCCCCAATGGTGCACGAAAAGAACTTGCATCAATTATTTTTTGAAAAATATTTACATAAAATATAATTAATACTCTACGAATTGAACTTAGGCTTTTTTTTTTGTAGATTTACAATGTACTTATAATTGAGTGCTATGTAATATACCGTGATTTTTTTTTTTTACTACTGTTGTTAAGCACAGATCACACACGATTTGTACATTTTGGCAGTCACGGAGTGGTGTTGTCTAGAAATAATGAATTAAGCTCGATAGGCAATTTCCATACAACATCACTCTGTATCTGTGTAAATGTGCAATTTGTATGATCCCTGCTTTAATAATATTAGGGTTATCAGTATCACTAATAGTACAAATTATGTATGTATTTATGTGCTCTCAATAACAACTTTTGAAATATCTACTGGATATTGCAATGTCCGTTTATTACACCGTTATAATTTTCTTCTTTTTTTTTGTGTTTGTGTACAAAAAGTATACAAAATGTAATAACTAGTGAATTTTACTGTGCAACTTAATTGTGTGAATAATAAACTTCATTTCAATTGCTTTACTACGTTATTTTCCGAGCTTTGAATTATATTCGGCTAAAGATTCTCTCGACCTTCTTTCTGGCAATTTTAAACAAAATACATTTTCAAATGTAGTTGCGCACCTTAATTGTATACATATACTACATATAAATATTTGTAGTCATATATGCATGCATGCATGAGGAATGCAGCACCACAATTTACATATCTTAGCATAGAGCAGAAAAATATTAAATTCCACAGTTTATTTTTCAATTGATTTTAATCAACTATCAACTACTTTCTCATTGGCTTACGACTAAAGTTATTCACTTGCTTTTATGACATTATCGCTATAAAGTATTAATAAAAATGGGCTATTTACCACACACACACAAAGCCGAAAAATGTTGACCTTGGTGCGAGAAACATTTTCAATTCAATTCAACATCGGCATCATGCGGAAAGTTCACAATATAGCTCGGCCATGCCGTAGCTTAATCAGACGTTTAAATATGTATGTATATGTAAACATCAATATATCATACATGTACAGTAATTGCGTGCGAGTGGTTAAAACATGTATGTATGTAGGTATGTAAATTATCGAATTATTGTGAGCTTTTTGCAATCAATGTGCGTACGTTTATGTATTTATATGTGTGGCGGCTTGTGAGTTTTCTCTTTACTTTACTTCAACACATTCCAAAATGTTTTGGGCCCCCTACTAATGATTATGTTGTTGGCCCGAGGTGGTCGACGCTGCTGATGACGATGAAGAAAACAGGCTCATTAGATCTCCTTCGTACAGCGCAATTAAAAGCATTATGAATACACCAGTGCATATTCCGAGTATTTGCAGCACAAATTGTTCCAGAGTCTTGTGAGCTGATGACAGTTCCGGCATCTGTAAGATAGCACATAAGTCAGACGAATGATTTCTCATTAGAGCATGTTCTCGTTTTCTTATAACTCACCATGTCCACCAGCGCAATATAGATGAAGAGACCAGACGCAATAGCAAACATCCATTGTGCTATGTTCGGCGATTGACCGAAAACAATACCGAATATCATGCCGATGAAACTAAGCACACTCGTCAACAAATTGTAATATACCGCTGTTTTGATGGACATGCCGGCTTTTATAAGGATCGCGAAGTCACCCAGTTCGTGTGGCAGCTCATGGCAAAACACCGCCAGCGATGTCGAGAAGCCACCGGCAATATTCTCTGCAAATGCAGCGCCTGAAAAACATAAATCATTTGGGTATGTATTCTTAAGTAAAGTTTTTTGGAAATGTGGTTGTTTTAGTAGAAGAAATAATTTATATAAACGAATTTATTTTTGTTGTACTAAATTCAAGAAATTTTATTTAATTTAGTTATCGTCGTTTAAAGTACAAAACTGCGTATCAACAAAATGCAAAACCGCGTATCAGCAAAATACAAAACCGCGTATGTGAAGTTTTAGAAATTATTTTCCAGAGCGTAAAAACACTCATATTTCAAAATGGTTCTCTTTTTTTATAAAGCCATCACATTTCTATAATCGATCGTTTAGTGATATGCCTTAAATTAGAACGCACCTATTGCCATGCCATCGGTGAAGTTGTGTAAGCCATCGCCCATGATTATCATCCAGACAACGGCGCTCAATGATTCCGGAGGCGAGTGTACGTGTCCGTGTTTATGACTGTGTCCATGATGCGAAGATTCATGTTCGCGCAATATGACAGTCGGCACCGAATCACTGGTCAAAGAACGCTCTTTGGCATTTCCATTAGTTGCCACCGTTGGATTGTAGGTAAGGGAGTGACTATGCCCGTCCGTTCCTCCCATAGAATGACCATCCAAATCTGTGGAAATTGTATTGCTGTCGGGCAGATGAATGTGGTGCTGATGCTGTTGTTGCTGATGATGGTGATCTTGATGGTTGTGGTGCCACACAGGTATTAGCGACTGTGCCACCGCTTCGTTTCCGTCTGCGTCAGCTTTGCCGTTGCGTTTGCGCTCCACATTATTGCCAACACCCATTAAATCACTAGACAAATCAGATATGTTATTCAACTTAGAGCCGGGCAGGTGCATGTCGTTCTTCGTGTCCATGGCAATCTCATCGTAACAGTAAGGATAAGAGCTGTATTTTGATTTGCAAACCTTATCGCCAGCGACTGAGTTATTGACCGAAGAATCGGGATCACGTACCACCTTTGCGCGCGATTGCTGTTTCGTATCACTCTTGGCTATGCGTTTGCGCCACTCTGATATCATGGTAAGGCCGTGTTCTGTTATGTAAAAGAAGACGATGCCGCTCATGCAAGCGAGTCCCTTAAGTATCATATTTTGCTCACTCTGTCCAGCCAAAGACTATTGAAATTCATATACATATATGTGTACATTTAAATTAGAAATGAAAATGATTTAAATGTAAAATGTGTATACACTTACATGCGGTAGTAAATGCAACAGCGCATCACCGGTCATTGTTCCAACAGCCAGTGCCACCAAATATTGAATAATGTACTTATAGTACCGAGAATCCATAAAAGGAATGATCGCTACGCCAACCAGGCCCAAAATTCCACAGGCGAAAACCGATATAAATGCGTAAATCCAAACTGAAATTGATCGAATATATGTATATAGTTACATAAAAATCGACTTTTTAGCATTTATAAGTTGTAGTACAAACTTCGAATAAAAATAATATATCGGCTCTTAAATTTTCGCTAAGTGATTGTTACATAGTTTTTATTAGAAGTTTTTTCATGGCAGAATTACACTCGGAGGTTTGCCATTGCCTGCCGAGGGCAACCTCTTTTCGAATTTTTTTTCTAATTTAAGTGTTGCTTTAACCAGGTATCGAAGCTGGATACTACGGAGTGGCAGTACGCACCTCTTACCACTCAGCCATAGCGGCCGTCCTACGAACTTCTAACTACTGCAAAAATGTCTTATAAATCTCATTGTTCATAAACTGAAAGAAACAGTTATGCCACTTTTAATGTTTAAGTGCTCCAGGATAACTATGCCTAATATAGTTTTCTTTTTGGTTATAAATAGGGTAGGACTATGATGTATTGTGGAATAATTTTTCGTCATCTCGTGCCAAATTTGGTTTGAAGATCAAATAGAGTATTATTTTGAACAGTGACACTTTAATTTTAATTTATGCCTCTTTACTTGTAAATAGGAGTTCAGCCGAGTGTGGTATTCAGTTTAAGCGAAAATAAATAATTCAGCGAAAATATAAAGGCTAACTAAATCGAACAATCGAAAATTATAGACGCAAGTTTGGAATTTAACAGAGACATGTACACAGATATGTTAAAAACATGACATCGGATAACTAACATTAGGTCCAATCCCGTATTCCTCGGACTAAAAGTAGTTTAACTGTCTAAAAATAAAAATTCTCTCAGAGCGAGAGTACAGGATCGCTTTCTAGTACAAAATGGTAAATTCAGTCAACTTCAATATAACGTCCAAATATTGTTTGTACATTTTTGCTTATTTTGTATGTAAACACACGCAGCTCACTCATGTAAATAACCCAAAAAAAAAATTTAAATTCATTAGAATTCACTTAAAAAAGTAATTAAAAACTTTTCAACGTGAACTTTCAGTTTTGTACTTCAGTTTCTATGGCCGGACTCCCACCATAAGTGGAAAAAAATGTGAAGCCGTAAGAGTCTGGTTAAGATAGGTATCACTTCCACTGTAAATATTGCAAGGACACAATAGAAATGTTAAATAACAAAACATAAACGTGATTGAATCTTCTTTTCAATAAATTTTCCTCGAAGTGAAATAATATTATAATCGATTTGTATTTCGCTTGCGATATGTATAAGAACCAGAACTTACAGTAAAATGGATTCTAACATCGAAAAAGTTAAATACTTACCGTACATAATGTCCTCTTTTTTGACGTCGAATCGACTCGCTTCCACGCCATCAATGTGAGCTAGAAGTGACGGATTTAAGCACCCTGCTCGCTCGACCGCCAGTGGTGACGCGATTTGGTAGAGCAATACTGGACACAAATGTAACAAATCCTGCTTGCTTATTGTATAATTCGTATCATGTAGATGATCTGTGCTATTCTTCGCTCGCCCTTCGTGCGCGTGCGTACAATCAAGTGCTTTGGAATCGCTGCCGTTTCTACTACAATTTACGATGTCGACTTCGTGTGCGCCTTTGTGGTCAAGCAGCGTGTGTGGCTGGACATGACGAACCAGTGATATGGCGCTCACGCACTGCAATGGGGAAAAGGGAAATTTATTGGTGCGTATTATAGAAAGGCATGCAAAATGACCATTTAACGATTACTTACAGTTTCATTGCTAAGCTCGGTCTCTTTATCTCTCGGTTGATCATGAACTTTTTGCTTTTGCTGGGAATCGTTTCGTTCAATCAGCTGATTCAAACCGAGATTTTTTAGAATTCGTTGGAACTCGTCAACTGTCAAAGTACCATCGCTCTCATGGCCATACTGATCAAATATACGCTGCAGGAACTCCGCCGTAACTTCCGGTTGCTGATGCAAGGTATCTTCTTCTCCGTGTGAATGGCCGCCGGCATGACGTTTTCGTCGATGCGGTTTATTGTGGTCATTGTTCGCACTGAATCTCCGCGTCGTTGCAAGGTCATATGCATCACCCGGGTGCCCGACTACAGTGGCAGATTCAGTAGGATAACTCGAGATATCACGGCGCACATAGACTCTAGAATTTAAATGTTGGTATTCAAAACTCGGCTGCGGATTGCCGGTCTCCCTTGCCACATAATCACTTGCGACGTGCTCCTGGCAAGGTATTCGGTCTGCACACAGCAGGCACACCACACACACCGCCATAATGTGTCGCGCCATTTCTGGGCTTAGTTTAAGCTGCGATTGATATTGGATGCAATACTGTTTCACTGAACTTCCCAATCGTATAGATAAAAAATGGTCCTCGCCTTTTGTATTGTGGCACACACACACCTTTAATATTTTCGAGTAAATTATTTGATTTGACTTAAATTTAATTCCAAATGTGTTGCTTTTAGACGCTCATGCCCACTTGTTACCTGCAATCAGAAAATCAGAACACAATTGTGATTTGGATGTGGAAAAAAGCAACAAAGCAAAAGGTGTTATTATAAGATTTATCAAATGTGCGCGTGTCTGCATCTAGAACAGAAAGCAGCAAATAATCCCATCCCACTTGGCAGAGTTTTCGCCAACCATAAATGAACCGACAACTTTGGTCACTTACTCAGCACTGATTTCCTTATTTAAAAACAATTAATACGAAACCTACACAACCCATCGATAGTTTCTACACATACACTTTTACATAAGTACGTACATATGTATGTACATACAGTGCAGCAAAACTTACGCGGCGGCCTGACAATATACCTAGGCCCCTCACTACACATTTGGTAACTGCATCCGAACTACTGCAAAAAGGATGCATAAATAGGCAGTTGAAACTCGCATTTTGCTAGTAAGGCTCATATTGAAACTAAAAGCTGAGAAACATTTGTATGCACAAATTTTCCCCTTTCGTAAAATGCGGCCTTTTTGTAAGTTCTTCAGAGGAGGATAATTGCCATTTCGTACAACATCGTCAAGTTTAAAAATACAACCGAAGGCATTGCGTTATTATACCCAAATTGAGAACCAAGTCGACCATCCTTTGAACCAGTAGCTCTGCGCTAGTACTGAACTAGTTCAATTTAATGCTAGGTATGAACAAGCATCATTACTCAAAACATATGAGTTCCGGCCGTTTGCCTTAAACAGACTCTTTTTCAATAAGCATTAAAAAATTAATTCAATTTCAATCGTCGTTGGGGAAAGATTTATTGAAAATCGCAGCGATGTTGAAAACTAAATCAATTAAATGATGATATAAAAAATATATGTATATGAAAAGCGTTTGCTAAGTAAGTGCAAGTGCACTCAAAAGATTCAGTAAATAAAATACCATAGTTGTGAAAAATGCATTAATTAATGTTAATGTAAAAAATTAATGCAATAATTTTTGAAATTCAATGCAAATAAAAATTTTAATGCATTATGCTAATGAAAAAATTTTAATGCATTAAACCATTAAATTCTTTTCTAGTGAAATATAAATAACTATAATAATAACTAATATTTACTAATAATTTTATCAGCTCCATTCTGTTTATTTGTAGAAAAATTCTTCGCAACATTGTTCGATGTTTTATGAAAATAAAAGCAATGTGCATGCAACCCAGTGTAGCTTTTGTAGATTTTTATGTTGATTGTTCATGCATACCGATTATTATGGGCCAAAAACGGACAGATAGCCAATTTGGCAGCACATATACACGACTGAAGACCTATTCTGATCTAAATGAATCACTGAACCGTTTTTTAGTTCCATTTGACAATGTGTTTTTAACCTATTTGACGACGAATGCAATTGAATTTGACAAAGTGAAAACCGGCCTTAACTTCCGCCACCTTCACAATCATCTTTTTTGACCTCAAAATTCAAATAAATCATTAGCATTATTTCATCGGAATTAATGCATTAATTTTTTACATCAACATTAAAATGCTTTGCATTAAAAAATGAATGAATGAATGATTTATCTCTGATTCGTACGATATCCAAAAAAGTTTATTCTAATGTGATCGCTCTGCGGCGGGCAATGGCAAATTTTCGAGGGTATTTTTTCCATGAAAAAGCTTTTCATAAAATCAGTATTAAAATGTATTAAATTTTAACTTAACATCTAAATTTTATAGTATTCATAAACTGTAAAATTGAAAGAAAAATACGAAAAATTAGCAAGTAGAGTGGACGCGACTTACGCAAGTTAAATAATTAAAAAGTTTTCTTTCCAAAGGCAAACCGTATAGGCGACACTTATACGTACATGACAGACTTGATTTCATGTACAAACTCTGTTGTAATCGTGACAATTGAGTAATTTGAAGACGATTCTTGTGATGCGGGTGGTCTTCTGACAATAAGATTTTCTGAAGCATTGTAAGCCACTTGAGCTTCAGCATATCGGCGTCTTTGATATTGCGTTGGCTATCGCTGTTAGCATAGAGTTTGCAACCGTACAACAACGTTGGTAGCAAATAAGATTTCCCGATTAACAGTCTAGTATTTAGGCATTGCCGGTAGGTGTTTTGTTGACCATAAATACCTCAGCATAGCGTATACTCTCTACCAATTGCGCTATAGATATGATTATCCCACGTTCGTGTTCTTAGCTACATCAACATATTGTACCACAATTCTGTTTAATGAAACTGTATCATAAGCGTTGAGGTCGATCTGTTTTTTTTTTTTTAATAGCAATACATTGGGATTTGTTTGGATTTAAAACCACCCCATTGTTACTTGCCTACTTGTGAACGAGGTCTAAATCACTATTGAGGCTCTTTATGCATAGGGTTTAACGCTGACTCCGAACAGAACATGGTTTTTTGTAAGAGGTTTCTTCATGGCAAAAATGCATTCGGAGGTGGCGAGAGCTAATGAAAATGTTTTGTTTTTAGATATGTATTATACTGACTAGGGATTGAGCCTTTGTCCTACCGAGTGGTAGCAAGGCGCCTGTAACCGCTTGGTTGCGGCTGCAGCTAAATTTCAAAATTTCTATTATATTTCAAAGTTGAGTTCTTCATGTCAAACGAATTGCATAAAATGCATCAATCATATGGTCCACCGAACGGGATCAATCCAATTGATATGCGGAAGTAATATTTTATTGGCAATCCACACTAATCATCAATACAAATGCTGAAAATTTTAATTTTGCTAGCGTCATACAATTTGCACAATACAGATGATTGAATTAATTAAGGTAATCAGCCAGACAAACAATATAAAATCACATGAATAGAAATTACAAAAAATCTCCCGCTAAAAAAAAAAAAATGTAAACAGTCAATGGTAAAAATCACGAAATTGTTAAAAAAAAAACGTTACAACAAACATTGATTGATGCGAACATACATATGTATGTAAATACCGGTGAACTTCTTTGCCATAATAAAGGATACTCAAAACATTTAGATCGATACGAATTAATGGCAAACCCACATTTTATGCGACACACCTTACTTAAATAAGGTTTAAAAACCCGCGCGATATCTGAAGGGAGACCGCAAAAAAAAAAAATTTGCACAAAGTGATGCTTGCTCCACACATGCGTACGCTTATCTTCCAGTCACCGTCCGCTGCACAACTGGAGTATGGCGCAAACATCAAAATACGCCAAACCAAATAAATCTACTAACAATTTGGGCAGCCGTTTTTACGTAGTATGTATTCAAAACCAGCTACTTGTTCCATTGTGGACAAAAGATTGTTTTCATTTGCTTATTTGGTTGAATTCACTGGCATTTTTCCCTACTAGATACGCTTCGAGCTGTTCACCATTTGTATGTACATACATATGCATTTATGTACATATGTATGCGCATATTTATGTAAAGGGGAGCAACTACCAACGCCAAATGTATTGATAAAACTTGCAAAATATTCGCTAAAACCTAATAAAAATACCAAATTAGCAAGCAAAGCGTGGGCGTGCGTACTGACAGACGTGCGTTATTGTGGCGAAGGTTTGTAAGTATGTATGTGCAAATATAGATGTATATATGTCTGTATATGGACATGGCTTGGAACAAAAATATGCTTCACAGATTTACGCCATAATCGACACCAGCTGAACCTTTGTACTGCACTGCCAAACACTGCTGCAAAGGATTTGACTGTGGTTATAGCGTCGTTTTTATATGTACTACACGAAGCCGCCAAAACTTTGTCAGGTATTATCGACTTAATAAACAAGATTTACCACACACCACCACACACCATGTTGCGGCAACACGGTATTAAGCCAATGTTATTGTATTTAACTGACAAGAAGAAGCAGAAGCAGAAGCACTTGCAACTTGCCACATGAACTTCAAAACTGTTCAAGGTCGTTACGCCCCCAATAAGCAAAGTCAAGGTCCCAAAGAGAAACCTAACTAAATGGGAACATATATATGTATGTATGTATGTATGTCCAATAAAATAAAAGTTTGAATTTTCATAACGCAAAAGTTTTCCAAATATGGTCTACAAAAATTGCTTAATCGCGAGCCGATTTGATGCTTTAAAAATAAATGAGCGCCGTAAGGAAATGAAAATTAAGTAGCCAGCGTCGCGTCTGTAGCAACAATTAAATCAAATTGATCAAAGAATTTTGAAAATGTCTGCATATGCATGCGTCATACACACATACATACATATGTACATATCGTCACCTGAAATGCAAAAAGTCGTAACTAACAAAAAATTCAAATTTCAGTTTTTGATTGATATGATGGATTTCATCGAATTACACAACTCCCACATCATTTAATTTAAAAAAAAAAAATCTAAATTTTTAGCCACAACTTTTTCCATTTCAGTTACAATGTTGTTACGCCTTTTTGCATTTCATTTGGACAATAAATTTATTCAGTATAGCAATTTTCAACTGTTTGATTTAGGATGGGGACAATGCCTATGAGAAAAGAAATACATATATGTACATATGTTTGTATACACACATTCATATATACATATGTATGTATGCATATATGTAACACAAACAATTGAAAGTTAATTCAACAACGAGAATCATCAATACGATCGATCGGGTTATCAACCAGTAAGTCAATGTAGGCAAATTTCCCTGTCGAGCCGTTTGCTGAGTTGGTCAAGTGCAATCAATCGCCAGTCCCTTTTTTTTTGATGTAATCAAATTCATTTAAAATTCAATTCACATCATTGAATCAAATTAAAATTAAAATATAACATCATTTCAGCTACAAGTTTAAAATGCAAAAGGCATACATACTCGGTACATACATATGTATGTACATTAGACTGCATCACCAAAAAAAGTAGCGGTTTTTCCGCCGGGATTACAAAATATATTATATTTGAAGACTTTCACCAAAATATTTCGGAAAAATATTAAGATTTACGTGAGCTGGACCGATTTGAAAATACCTCCAGAAATGTTTTTTTTTGTGAATAAAAATAGTTTCATAA